ATACTATTGATCAAGGAATATATTTCGGAAGTTTTTCCTGCTTTAATCACGTATCCATATTACAGTAATATGAGAACAATTACGAAAGATATTATTCAAATTGTTTGCTATAGACCTATATTTGCTCAATTTTGCTGTATTTCAAATAATTAATATATACTTCTTAAAAATGCATAATGCAGTATCCAACAATGGTGAACCCGGGAAAATCCTAGGTGGGAAAAATCTGACCGTGGCTCGAGGCACTTTTGCCACTTTTTCCAATGGTAAGTACTGTTTGAAATATTAAATGACTTGTATAATTTTGTCATTCTGTTTCTAGCTGCCCAAATGTACTGTTTAGGGATGTTCTTTAATACCCCTGATCATTGCTGCCGAGCGAAGCGAAGGCAGCCACCTATTCTTGACAACGTTTGCAGTTTTTACTCGTGCCAGATCCCCGCGCGACTTATGTATTTTAACCAAAGCAAATCTCAATTTGTTTGTCGGTCATTCGGGTCGCATTTTCTGACGTCACAGAATGACGTTGTGTACAAATTTATATACGCAGGAAGTTTACGATGATAATCCGCGATCACTTCTGAAAGCTGTGTTCGGTGTGCCGTAGCTTCATAGGAGCTATGACATTTAATTTTGACCATATGGCATATCGCATATTTTTCCATTACACAAGGCTTATTTTAATGATTTAATGAGATTCGGCTAATATAGCGCCAGGGAGTTCACCACAGGTTTCCCCAATTACAGCGACCCCATACAATTACTATTTGATATTTTGGAGAAAAAACATTTTGGAAGGTATGTTGATAAAAATAGTTATTTGAACGTTCATATATATATATATATATATATATATATATATATATATATATATATATATATATATATATATATATATATATATATATATGTACATATATATATATATCTTTGATCTTGACCGTAATCACAACCCATCCCTAACCGTAGCTTTATTGTGCGCGAAACATGAGAATCTAACCATAAACTTGTTTTAATATTTCTATCCTACCGTTACTCTAATATCTGTGACATCAGAACGACAATAGTATGGAAACTTGCACCCATTTTTGGAACCTTTTCACCATACACCACAATATCAGCCAATAATTATTTTAAGAGCACACAGATTATTCAATGCTTTTAATTACACAACAACGATACACTGTATCACTATTAAAGACTACACATATAAACAGTACTTCAAACTACCACAACTGTACAGTGAGTGCGGACTGTCCGGTATGTACTATTTAAAACGCGAGCAGGAGTGCTTTATCAGATATAAAACACGTGAGCGCAGCTCGAATGTTTTATCTGATAAAGCACGGACTTTTAAATGGCTAGTAAACATAAAAGCCCGGTTCACATATACCTACATACACCTGCGGTATGTCGGCGGGCTATTGACAACAACTGCTCTGAAAAGCTGTGAACAATGATAGCGCAGGTTATACCGCAGGCATATGTGAACCAGGCTAAAGAAAGAGTAAAGTAAAGTGCTTAGCTGATATTTGACTTCGTTTGAATATACTTCTTCGCCAAGTTGCCTTTCTTTTGATTTTACTGAAGGGAAGTCGATCGTTTAAAAACTGCCGGAATATCGAACAACATGGTCATGGAGCAAAACTTGCATCCAAGGATGTCAAATTATAGCCACGTTACTTCGAAAACTACAGGGTGTATCAAAAAACCTGCAAACACTATAATTTGCATAATTCTGCCGCTTACCAGCATTTCAATGTTTGTGCTACTTATTTTGCTCCTGGGATTTGAAAATACATTATAACTAACCGCGTTGATAGAAATTAGAATAACAAAAAGTTATTTGTAACGCAAAAAACTAATTATCAGCTCGACTGCGAATGGGTCAACTATTGTGTTTACGCGTGCTTGGGATCAATTAGTTCTGAATCATGCAAATTCTAAAAACATTGTACTTCAAAGGTTTCCACGTTTTTTGATCACCCTGTAGAGTTGAGGACATTGTTTTTAATGTTTCGACACATGCCTAACATAACAAAAGCATGATCAATTATAAAAAATATTCAATGCACATACTTCAATCCCATGCACGATCCTACTGACTTGCCCCTGGCTGCGTTGCATGCTTAAACAATGCCCATGCATAAATTAAATTATGTTGTCTATGCACTGAGTATAGTGTAGTGTGCTTTTTGACAGCCAAAGTACATTTAATTAACCCATGAAATAGCACGCAAAGCATCGTTCTTTTAAAACGCCATGCTATGAACATAGTTGGCAGTTGCCGGACTGTTCATGCCATGTCTCCGTGTCAATTATCTTATTGACAAATCATATTCAAACAAAAGGTCTACAACCTAAACCCTGTTTAAATTATAGCAAAGTGAAACTGATGGACAATAATTGATTCGCTTTTAATGCTTGAAATGAACGCTTTCAGACGTGCAAATACAATGTTGATTTTACTGCTAAGTGCTAAATGAAATAACTGAAAGCCAAAAGAAAATAAGGCGAAGAGCATAAACGCATAAATTTGCTTTCTAAGCGTTATAAATTGTTTGTTAATAAACAAATTCAGTATATATAGTGTAAGACCAGCCAAAAATCAACAGACCAGGTATACAACGAAATACAAAACACACCAAAAGAACTGCATCGTTACCGGCTTATATAAACTGACTAATGAGATTCCCCGTATTTATAGCATCATGCATGCAAAGCATTCTGGTCGGCTAACAGCAATGCATTCTGGTTGGTTAACAGCAGTGCATTCTGGTCGGAGAAACGGAAGTAAAATCTTACTTTCAGAGCCCAATACGAATTAGAACTGCTGACTTGCTCGCTCGCTTCAGGCTGGCTCGCTGCGTCAGCAATTATTACTTAGATTGATACCTAATTGAAAATATATAAGTCTATATACCTGTAAATAGATTATTATTTATAGTTAATTTTTTTAGTTCATATAATACTATATATCTTATATAATTTTGTAAATAGTTTTTAAAATTATTTTCTGTATACTTTTTCGCACGCCCCTCGTGGAAATCAGCTTCGGTTGACGGGGTTAGCGTGTTTAAATAAAGTTTTCTATCTATCTATATAATGTTTTCGGATTTGAAATTAGCGTGTTCGAAAGTGTTAGTTCCCATAAAAATATTTCAGTTCCAAGACATGCTTAATGAAAACCGTTTTCTAGGCACTTTCGAGGTCACAGTAAACGGCCTATTGATAATATTGATCAATAAGAGGGTTCAATTACGCATCTCACTAAACCTATTCATTCTTATGAGATTGAACAAAAAGACTACATCAAATTGACAAATACCTGGGCGTCTATATTAATAAACACCTTAAGCCAATTTATAGCCCGCGTGCAGGCCCAAGGGAACTGATAGTGGGCCTGCAAGCAAGGCCCGGTATTTTGTAAAACGCCCCTTTTCATAACACGCCCCATTCGCGCGTCAATTGTCAAAAAGAACCAATGACAGCACCCAAATATTAACAAACAAACTCGCATTAAAATGTTGCGGGGTTTTCTCTGCTTATTCAGAAAATAAACAATGTGTAAATGGCAGCGTTTTAACTCCAAAAAAGCAAGCAACGCAGTCAGTAATTGCCAAATTTGCAAGTGCTCATTTTCAACTAAAATCGGAACAGGCAAATTAGGACGAATTTCAACAGAACACCAGTCTCAAACTTCAAATCGTGAGGGAAGTCGTGCGACCACATTAGCATTTATATTATGTGTGCTTCGCGCTGTCGGCAGCCTGTCGCCATTGGCATTGTTATAAATAAATTGTCTCACTTATCAGATCGTGTGTGCAATTCTTGTTGGCGGCGGAAAGTACGAAATTTATTTCAGTTATTTCATTTGGTGAGAACTCTACAAAAGAAGAGAGCGTTCAGAGTCCAGATCGTTTCGTTTCAAACGGCAATTTAATACCGTCTTCTGTTTCGCTCTCTCAGCGAAGCCTTGTAAATCGCAAAGTGTTTCGAATAGGCTTACATGTAACTGCATCTCAACATCAACCAAAAGATAATTTTCTTGAGGAACATATAACGTATCAAGTCTGTTTGAAATTAATGAAACTCAAGTAAAGGTTACTATAGTTTACGCCAGTCGTAATGTTGCTATTCCAACACCTCACGACAAGCAATCCCCATTGGCATAACGGCAAAAACATCTCTTCCTTCAAGTAAACAACAAACAGTTTGTTCTTGTTCCATTTATAATCGAAAAAAGTGATCAATTTTCGAATTTTGAGCTTATCGAGAGCCTTTGAATCACTGACCTAATTATAGAATCCAACAGCAAACAGCCAATCAGAATGCCGCGTTCCCACTATCAGTTCCCTTGGGCCTGCACGCGGGCTAGCCAATTTAATGCCACCAGAAGACAACTCTCATGTTGCAGAAGAGTATGCCGACGTTTTTGATGGCCTGGGTGAGATACCAGGAGCTCACACAATAGACAGATTTAGATCGAGGACGTCAAAGACGACGTGAAAATGGCGTGGTATATACATACATGGGCACAACACGCCATTTTCACGTCGTCTTTGACGTCCGCGTCCTCGATCTAAATCTGTCTAATAACTATAGAAGACACGGCGAAGCCAGTTATCCATGCCCCTCGACGTATTCCAGTCACATTACAATCTCAAATCAAAGCCAAACTAGATGAGTTAATTAACTTAGTCGATCGAGAAGTCATCGTCCCTGTTACAGAACCCACTCGTTGGGTATCCAGCATGTTGGCAGTCGTCAAGCCGAACAAGATCCGTATATGCATCGACCCGCGAGACCTATAAATCGTGTTATACGACGCGAACGTTACCAACTACCAACTGTAGATGAAATCACATCAAGATTAACGGGTGCCAAGAAATTCACAATCTGCGATGCTAAGGGACGGATTTCACCAAATCAAACTTGACACGGCTTCGAGTTATTTGGCAAACTTCAACTCCCCTTTCGGACGGTACGGTTGAACTCGCATGCCGTTCGGAATATCGAGTGCACCCAAAGTTTGGCAAAGGCAAATGCATGAGTTTGCTCAAGATCTCAATGGATTTGATATCATAGCAGATGACCTCCTTAACGCGGGATTTGAAGAAACAGGGGAGGAGGTCGATCGAAGCTTGGAAACGAATGAACCGGTATTTTTCAAGAAATGTCGTGAGTGGAACCTCAAGCTGAATAAGGGGAAGTTGAAACGATCACAGACAGAAGTCCGTTTCGTGGCACACCTCATTACCGCTGATGGCCTCAAAGCTGATACATATGACACTGTCAAAACTCAAGAAGTCTCTAGCCAAAGCGCCGATCCTGAGATACTACGATGTCAGCAAGAAAGTTACCATTGAATGTGATGCTAGTGACACTGGCCTAGGTGCTGTCTTAACGCAAGACGGACAAACCCGTTGTTTTTGCTTCGAGGGCACTTACAGATACAGAAACTCGTTACGCCCAGATTGAAAAAGAATTACTAGCGATTGTCTGGGCAACAAGCAAATTCGATCAGTATATCCTCGGTCGAGAAACCGTTACCATAGAATCCGATCATGAACTGCTTAAGGCAGTTTTCATGAAACCCATACATAGCTCGCCTAAACAGTTGCAGAGAATGCTGCTAGCCCTCCAAAATTACAATCTCAACGTGCAGTACAAGAAAGGCAAACTCATGTGGATATTGGACACCCTGAATCGTTCATATCGAAACACAACAGTATCATGGCGTCATGACACTACTGAGGTACGGTCCCTGGAAGAGACCGACCATGCAGAGAATCTGCCTATTTCTCCAGACAGACTCAACCAGTTTAAGTGCGAAACACCGTCAGATAAAACCATGCAGAGTATCATCGTCGCGATAAATAATGGCTGGCCTACATCCAAGAGACAGTCCAGTCACGACTTGGCACCGTTCTACGACAAAAGAAGTGAACTAGTGGTTGATAATGGACTAGTTTTCTGGAGAACGCTTAGTAGTTCCCACATCAATGAGAAAAGAAATGCTGACGCAGATTCACCGATCTCATATTGGCATAGAAGGATGTCTTCGGAGAACCCGTGAAGTATTATATTGGCCATTCATGAACGCAGAGGTTAAAGATTTGATTTCAAAATGCCCAACATGCCAGGCATATCAACCTGCACAATGTCGTGAAGAATTAAAACCATACTCATTACCATTCCGTCCCTGGGAAACGGTCAGTACGGACCTTTTTGAGCTTGGAAAATAGCACTTTGTTCTGCTCGTAGACCACAGGAGTGGATTCTTCGAGGTCCAAGAACTTACGAGAACTACCGCTGATAAAGTCATGGTAGCCTGCAAAGTCCAGTTTGCACGACATGGAATCCCAGATACAGTCTGTGATAACAGACAACGGACCTCAGTTTTCGGCCACTGCAGAATTTTCAGCATTTGCAAGAGATTGGCAGTTCAAGCATCTAACTTCAAGCCCTGGTTACCAACAATCTAATGGCCGAGCAAAGAATGCGATCAAGACTTGCAAAATGCTGATGACAAAAGCCCAACTTGCTGGTCAAGACTCATTCTTAGCATTTTTAGAACGAAGAAACACCCCCACAGAAGGTCTGGGATCATTACCTGCCCAAAGGGTGATGGGGCACGTATGCGAACACTGTTACCGACTCACAAAAATCTCGTTAAACCACCAATCAACGAAGGCCACTAGGTATAAACTGGCTGCCCGGAAACCACGACAAATTCGCCATTATAACAAGATGTATCATCCTCTTAAGCCATTAAAAAAGGGTCAAGCTATACGAATGAAATTACCAACAAAATGGACAAACAAAATGGACGCTTGGAACGTGTACCAAGGTTTTGGATAACAGATCGTACCTGTACAAAGTAGATGTGAGTGGTAGGAAATACGAACGAAATCGCCGACAACTCCGGACATCGCAAGAAAGACCTCCAACAGCACCAGTTGCTGGTATGGATCCTGAGATTGGACCTGAGCAAAGCAGTAGGGAAACCGAGAACCGTTCGATTGTGAATGAACTTAACCTCGAACACGTACCACCATTAGACGGTAGCGCCTGCATGGCAGGAGGTCCCTAAAATCGGACAAGCCTGGGAAAGACCGCCTGTTGGGTTTGGCAGTGTAATCGAATTCCCCGTCCACCAGTGGACGGGAATTGATGATTGGCTGCGAGTCTGAGCCGCTGTCACTCAAAAGTAAATACTCTTTAATATGTAACATAGTATTAATTCGCTTAGCTGTTGTAAAACTGAACGCTTCTCGAAAGTCGAAACGCGAACTGATTCTCGAATCTCAAACGCGAGCAAGAAATAGCAGTTAAAGATTTACTCCTTGGAAAGAATGTTTTGGCCGTTCAATCTACAGGTTATGGGAAAATCTTGATTTTTACATTGTTCTTGTTGCCTGTTGGCGCGACAAAATATAACAAGAATAAATACAGATGGCCGTAGTCTTTCTTGCAACGGGTTTAATAGGACTACTACGCCTAGACCTATTAGCCACTTCACTTTCTGAACCTTTAAGGCTTTCTTTACCACACGGCTTCGTTCGGGAGACGAGACAGTTATTGGCAACTGACGTTTTACAACGGTCTATTTGTTCGATACGTACACAGTAACACAGGCAAAAACTGTCTGTACCAGTGTGGGTAGTACCAATGTGAAAATGCTGTGCTGAGTGGTTATATTACTACCTTAACAAAACAAGCAGAAACTCGACGTTTCGAGCGAAGGCCCTTCGTCAAGAGTTAGCAGCAACGCGTTTATGTCTCGTTTGATTCATATGGCAATCACTTCGTTGCGTTTCGGATCTTTCGCCCACACGGTTTACAAACTCGGTCGGATAGTTCCGAGGTAGAACTAACTTCGATTCCTAAATGAACTGAACACAGTTCGGCCAAGGTTTTG